CTGTAGAGGTTGGTAACGATGCATATCAAAGAATTGCCCAAGAAAAGTTGTCCTTCGTTTGTCAGCCCTATTTGGTAATCTTACCTTATTTGGAAGTACATGAAAACCGGTTTATGACGATTTTCTCGACTTTTAAAGCTTGAAATCCCCTGAAACATGCAGATACTATAGCGAAAACTTCCGAACATCGGCCATTTTCTTTTTGTTTTTCCATATATGRCAAAGTTTTGTCAAAGGAAGCCCGAAACTAAAAATCCACAGGGRTCCCACACGAAAGACATACAATTCTTTGATATGGTCTGCTCCATATTGTTTAGACAGGAAATARCAAGACATAGACCACTTCTTGGAATTWCTTTGGCAAAGCAAGATTTTCAAAATGGTCATTGCTGTTTCTATATCTTGCTCACTGGCTTTCTTTGTCGTTGTAGCTTCCATATGGTACAGTTCAGTGAAAAAGAACCAGCAGAAAAGAAGCAATACCGGCTTATTGAGAAGAGTACACAAATACATGTGAAAAAGAATGCTGCTGTCTTGTAAGTATCAAATCTTTCAAAAAAGATTGAGCGATACGCAAGAACATCATACTGCTAACACTAATCCATATAAGTTTAATATGTTTGGCTGCGTTCTTTAATAAGAGTCAGATAGCCATCGTTAACATCAAAAAGCTAGTGATCTTTGCTAAACTTAAAGATGCGCGGCTTTCATTCTTTTTTAATTAAAGCTGAAATATTTCTATTTCTCAATCAATGCGTTTTTATCCCTTTTCGCGATTAGAAAACAAGGTGCTCGAGGAGCCCGTGGTTTTGCACCAAAGAGAGACAAAATCTTGCAACAACCCAAAAAGTTGTCGTTTTTGAGTTTGTTCGTAATTTTGATTTGTCAGGAATATAATTTTTGATGCTGAAAAAAGTCATAATTTGGATATGACTTGGCACTTTTATTCATTTGAGGGTTGCAGCAAACATGTTGCCCAGTCATTTGGTTTTAACTGCGAAAGACTGCGAAATGGTCTTCTGATTAGGTGTACACTTTAGCACAAAAACGTTGTCCTAAGAATGAGTGCTTCCGGAATATAGAGCTACATTAATTAAGGGACAATGGGTAACCTTTTAAGTGATGCCCCGAGTAAGAACTAGGGAAGCAAACGGCACAGGAATGCAAGAAGGTGCTAATTGTGCATTGTATAATCCATCCATCCCATTGGTTAAAACATGAAAATCTGCTATAATTTCACAAGTTAGCGAATTTTCTAATATTTTATTTAATGTCTGTTTTCGCTTTCATGAAAGCTTTCTTTAGCTTCAATATTAACGCAATTCTATGTGGGGAACATTGCAAATTAGAAGCATCTTTTGGCTATTGTTTTGAGTGCGTATGATTGGATAAGAGCTTTTAATACAAAAGAAACTTTGTTTCAAAATAGAGTTTATCCACATTTTATTTCAAAAATGTGTTACCCACAGGTTAATACATAATCAGTGTGAAAACCAAGACATTCGTACATGGGGAACTTGCTATGCCGCAGAACAATAGAGAGCTCCCTAGTTCTTAAGCGCATTGTTACTTAAGCCTAACGCTTACATTTGCATTTTTGTAAGAGATGCATGGTCCACAGGCATCCCTTCTGAGCTTTGTTTATGTTTGAAAACAAAAATACATCGTGACGTTAGCAAAAACTTACTCTTTATTTTCCCTTTAATTTTGCTATATGAATAGAATAAAGATATTGCAAGATTTKATTCCGAATGGATATATATTTGAAGACACCATGAAGTCACCTTATTATTTTCCATAGATGAAAATTCTAAAACACGACTACATTGCATTGCATGCTGGTGTGTCATGGTCCTTATAAATAACTCTTTCTATTTTGACAACGTATTTGCATTCCAATTACGTTTATGTCAACAGACGAAATTTATTCAATTAATGACTGTATCAGTACTTTCTTAGCTACAAGTTTACGTAATGATATTTAACCTAAACTGTGAAATCGCAATGTGTTCRAAGATAAATTACATGTTTAAGGCAAATGAAATTCAAAAACGMGTCTGAATGTGTTATTATATTGCTTGTATAGTACATTCAACAAAATAATACTTTTTCATTTGGTCGAGAGGAGTACAATTACAGCGTWAATTGTCCTCATACTCCGTATGTACTAATTAAGTCGTCATGAAAAAACTTTGTGTTTTTTTGACAAYATTTATGTGATTTTTCAGAACTTTTTACTCAAGCTAATTAAAAAGCATCAAAACGGTGCTGTGGCTGTTTGATTCGCATCTTAAAAAGCTGTCAAAYTTACGTCAAAACAAACATTTAAATAACTTTTTACTTACTTGTTATAAGAATATTTTGAAAAAATTYATTATGTTTTGTACTTTAAAATTGAAATATGCTATCAAAATAAATTTTTGCTGTATTTTAGTTTCTATAAACAAAATGTGTGGATWGAATTTAAACCAACTCCAAAGAAAAAAATAAACGAATGAACGCGTATTATCGTAACATGCRCTTGTCTTTCACATTTTAATAATATCATGAAATTTTGTTTCATTCTGAATGTATAGTTATAACAAAACAATCACACAATCTATCGTACATGCACAATTTGATATATTAATAGTCACTCGTATTGKTTTGAAAGTTCTCAAATTTYACTCGCCCTATCGGGCTTTCAAWATATTACTCGCGACTATTAATTCSTAATTGYACTCACGGTCGTGTGAGTCCCTGAACTAGTTTTTGTAGTTTCGATTAATTTTTTTGGAAATTGAGATGGAGGTGAATTTTAAGCATTCCTATTGAAAGAAATAACCATTTCAAACCACTCTACGTCGTTCTTTTAAGACAATAACCAAGACTGTGAATGATGAAAGAAAGATGAAACGAACAAAGAGAGATTATATTGAAAACTGTGAGCAAAATGAAAAGAAACAAAATTGTTATGAAAGAATTCATAAAAGATGAAAAATCACAATGAAAGATCATGATTGAAAATCAGAAGGAAAGATCAAAGTGAAAGCTCAAAAAGGAAAGTTTTGAATTCAGTGTATTTAGAATAATTACCCTAACCCAAGTATTAGCCCTTGATTCTAGTTTAGGCCTTTTAAAAATACTCACTGCACWTATTTCTAAGCAATTACAGRTATTTTGTAATTTGTTTATTTTTGAGAGTGAATATGCTTTGAAATTCTTCACTCTCAAAAATAAACAAATWACAAAATATCTGTAATTCCTTAAACAATGCTTAATRAAAGTTTGATAATTAGTTGAGGATTTTCTTTTCTCTTTTTCGGTTGTTTATTAGAATATTATTAGTACAATTCATAAGAAACTGGGATCTAGTCTTCTGAAAGCAAATGTTCTTTCTCTGGCTCTGATTTTTATGTTTTGAAATTCTTCCCTCACAAAAAATAACACAGAATGTCCACAATTTTTAATGCTTATTTAATAAGAGTTTAATTAGTTAAGTACTTTCTTTTCTCTCTTTCGGTTGTTGATTAGTCGTTTTTTGATTGGTTTACCAAATATTGCACAGTTATATTAAGAAGAAACTGGGCTCTAGTATTCTGAAACCAAATATTTCTGATATAACCTACTGCCAATTCCAGTGCGCCATAAAGACGAACTAGTCGATAGATCATGATAATCATGTTCTCTCTTCTCATACTTATTGAAATGATCCTCATTAGCCCATCTGCATCTATTGCCCTGGATGAGCTTACTCCGTTTGGTAAAGATCACGGTGATATTATGTTAGCTCCCGGGTTTGATGGAGACTCAGGCGAAATCCGTATTACGAGGTCTTTTCCTTTCCTTGGTCGGACCTTTACTTCCTTGTATGTAAGTGAAAAAATACGAATTTTTGCTTGTAACCAAGAATATTGGCTTGGCTTGTATTCTTCGTTTTCACTATACGTCAGMGCGAMMATCTTGGAGGAACTTTAACAAAGGATTTCTCATTAGTATCTATTGTACGTTCATTCCTCCGACGGACTTTTATCTTATGAATCTCATGAGAATGCATGAAATCGATAAATTGCAAGCTGTTAAATATAATTGATTGTAACAGACCGAGAAAACGTCTACTAAACACACAGTATTGAATCGTGGAGGAACTTAATTGCTTATAACAAGACTGCTATAAGTGAACTGATTATTTGTTACAATAATTGTGCTCTATTTATGTACAATTCTATGCCTAATTTAGTTACATTTTTAATCATTACGTATACATGTATAGGCTAGTCTAACTCGAGATTTACGCAAGGTAAGTTACGAAATTACGTACTAGTGATAACGGAGAACAACATTACGGACTATCCCGAAACCAGATATATGAGTTAGGTCAACAAAACTGGAGTGTCTGTGACGTCGCGTATGGACTAAGCGTTTGTCACGGAAAGGTCACGTACTCTAGCTTCGCTACAATATACAAACTCTTGTTAGAACTGATATTATTTATATTGCTAATATAAAAATTAGGTTAAACTCTAATAGCGGAGCTCCCAAAAGATATGGATGTATGTCGGATAATTAAAGATTGGATGCAAGACACGTTGGTCAAACTACACATGTTTTGCTAAGACTATTATTTTTGATATCACATAAACTTTCATGGCACTACATTAAACAATATTATAGTTCACCTCACCCAATTTTTTTATATTTGGAAAGAAAAGACTTTTGTCATAGTAACAACAATTTGTACAAACACATTTGATTTCGTTTATTTAAACTACATTTTGAAGCGAAAACAACCGCAGAGAAGCCAATTTCGGGATTCTTGTGTGCCTGATCAATGTCTTCATGATGACGTAGAGGGAGTAAGTCGTTCGAGAGACAGTGCAATGACAGTAAAAATCAAATCTGAAACAAAAGAACCTGGAATTTGAACAGCTGTAAATACTACCTACATATATTGAAAGAAGTTACTTACCTGGGGCCGTAAATAACTTTTCCTGTTCCTCGATATAGATCTAGATCTATACGCAACACTTGTTCGTCCAGAATAATCTCTAAACACTTTGGCTCCATTTTTATAGCCAAGCATAAAATAGCGTTCAAATCGTCAGAATAATCTCTAGTGGCATTAGATTTGCCGTTCCAGGTTGGATTATCCCGCGTTCAATCTTAGAAAACATAGATTTGTAATGAAATATGGGAAACTTGTACAGTAAGCTTTGTATTTACCGAAGGACGAGTTACTCCAGCTACGTCATCAACCCAGGCTCCCTCGCACTCGGACAAAAATCATTTACGAGCATAAATTTTTTAATTTGAATTTGTGGTTTATAACTCCTAAACTTTTTTTTCCAAATGTAAAAAAATTGGGTGAGGTGGACTTTAACTTTTCCTCTTCAGCTTTGTTGATGCAAAGCAGTGATATACACCTAATTGAAAAAACGTAGTCGTTTTCGAAAAAGTCACATCATAGAAGCTAAGACCGAAAGGGATTTTGAGTACACACTAAATTGGGATTACATTTGCATATACGGTGTTTAACATGGTGCACGGTAAAGCAAGTAGAGCTAATAAGATTAACAGCATGCTAGTCTTATATGCTGAAGAGCTGTTTGTATGAAATTAGCCAAATTGTTTGTCTTCCCAAGTACCTTTTCGGTCTTAGCTTCTATGATTAGACCTTTTTGGACCCGACAACGTTTCTTCAATTAGTTGTATATAATATGTAAAGAAACCACTCATTTTGATTTCGTTGTACTACTGTTGTGTGCTCGATTATTATAAAGAGTGCACCATATATAATGTTACATATCTTTCTATTAAAAACATAATTTAGGTTATTTACAAAATATAATATAATGCCTGCTAGGAAAAAAAGCATTTCTGGAAAAATTAGTCCCCGACCAAATGCAGATGTATGAAAGCTTCGGTGGGTTTACCTTCCATTTTTCCTTAGATTTGGTGCTCCGCTATTTAAGGAATACTGATATAAATCTTAGTGCATTATTGCAAATGTGAAAGTTCTTTCCAACCTTTACTTTGCTTTTTTCCTCGCTTTCACCAACCAGAACTCATCTGTTGATTAAATTCATTAGGTAGACATCAATGGAGTAATAGCGTTCGAAAAAGCATTCGGAGAGTTCGACGATACAAAAAGGTCTCAAATTGCTGGCACTACATCAATGATTGCTCCATTTCTGGGAGATATTGATACAGATGATGGAGGCGCTATATGGTACAGACAAAACACTACCAAGCAATTGTTAGAAGAGGCGTCAACCGACGTTAGAAATGCTTTCCCAGAATTCCCACACTTCTCGGCAGTATGGATGTTTGTAGCTACTTGGGCGAAAGTACCAGCGTTTCTAAGCTCAAATCTGGTATTGTTATTGGTATTATTTACTAACAAAAACAAAAAGTACGGATTGTGTAGGCAATTTATGGCCATTCGATTTGGATCAACTCTTTTTTTTTGACATAGTTGTTATCAGCATTTTTAACCTAATTAGATTAAGGTTCTTTACCTTAGTACACGTATATGTATGTGGGCTGTTGTATTACAATATGTAGAAGACCTTTCCCTGAAAACAAAATATCTATTGTAGTACTAATATAAGGTATACGATAAAGTGAAGTCGAAGAACTCGTTTCGAAATAGATACTGCACTATTACACCTTATAGTACCACTCTATAATATTGCTTAATATCTTTGGTGTCACTTTGACTATCATACGTATCATCTTTTTATTGTAATAGTAAATATTTTCTATTTTTTCGTTGCGATTTTTTCCCCACACTTGTGTAAATTCTCGCGAGCTGATTGGTTGATAAGAGCATATGTCAATAAGAGGACATGCACGCTGTGCAAACACCATCACGTCTCGCGCGCTAAGTTGAAAGAATATTTTAATTAGCTTCAGTCTTTTTATTGCAACAATATATTTGTATATTTTCGTTGCAATTTTTTCTACAGAATGATCTGTGCTTTTTGTTTACATCGTCACTGTTTGACTGTGGCATTGTTTTTGCTTTCTTCTTCTAATCAATTTGTTGTTGTTGGACTGCAGAGTATCACCAATACCTTCCAGTCAGTATTGCTAACCGATGGTAACTATTCGTTTGTTCGTTTTAACTACCACAAGATTACATGGACAACAGAGACAAGTGGAACTGAAGCAGAGGTATACACCTATTACGAAAACGATGTCCTGAGATTTAGGGATTTAGGAAATTAGGAATGAATTAAAAGACAAAACATGGCCACTGAAGCCGAACTTTTATTTTGTATTTTCATTAATTCCTAAATTAAAAGTTCTTTTTTTCTTGGACAACGTTTGTGTAATTAGGTGTATATAAATTAATAAATTTGATTATTCAAAGGCATGATATATTTTTTTACTTATATTTCTTCCATCGCCCACTGCCGTTATTTTTTAATATAAAGACCGAATTAGACGGCATAACTTTTGCCTACAACCATCTCATGCGAACTGCGTAAGTCATCCTTACGACATGCCTACAACTGTTGTGGGGCTATTCAGCAATGTTTGAAATCCCAACGACAGTTCCAGCTATGTCGTAAGGATGACTAACGCAGGTCGCATGCGATGGTTCTAGGCAAAAGTTGTGTATTCGTCTGATTCGGCCTTAAAATTTCCTGGATCAAGAGACACAGACGCTTAGCGGTGTGAAATCCAGCGATTGCCACTTTATTATAGAACTTATGCAAAAGATAAACCGGAAAAGAATAAAACACCTGAATAGGTGCTATTGATTTTTGTGCATTGAGCTTCTCGGTTCTCTTTTTCTTATAGATTGGGTTCAACGCTGGGTTTAGTAACTACTACTATAATGTAGCTCCTAACAGTATACGGAACATTAGTATACTAGATCTTCCTTACAAATCAAACGTCAACAAACCAGGAGTGTGGATGTTCAGGACAGACAACATCACAATACAAGAAGGATCAGGACAAATAGTCGTATCAGGTGATTTTAATGTTTGCTCAGACAGCACRATCACATTCACCGTTGCATCGCTCTCATCCCATCTCAACATCAAAGTAGTTTCTTCTCCTTTCATCTCATCCCATTTTAACGACGTTTTGACAGTCAAAGCGTTGCATTTGATTTGAGGTGTTCTTTTCAGCTTTTCACCTCATGCAATACAAGTTTAAGATCTGTGAGGGAATTTTATCTTGCTTATTCTCGTGTGTACATTCTCGCGTGTTTTGAATGTGCATTGGGAAAAAGTAAAGTTGGCTATTTCTAATGGTTGTGACGTCACGTACGTGACTTCAGTTTCCCTATAATGTCTCTTACTGACGTTATCAGTGTCACGCTAAACGATAACGGCTGCCGGTGGGAGACTTGTCTTTCGAGAAACCTTATTTTGGAGTCGTTTCAAACGAAAACGAAATAAAGTTTTATGAGATCGCATGACGCAAATGAAGATCTATAAACGGCTACCCATCAACTACTTTCCATGGCTCGAACTTGAACAGGTAAGACCTGTACTTTGGAAATTAACACACATTTATTATATTCATACCGATGAGATACCAGGTATTCTCTAGTTGTGAAAATGCAATATCGTGAACCATAAAACATGATAAAAAGATATCATATCTTTCACATGTGAAGATATCATTGTTTGCATCGTGACACACTTTTTCAGCCAATTAGATCAATATTTATATAATAGATCGATAGATCGATATGTATATAATAAATAGAACATTTTATACATGGACGCGCGGAAATACTAATTTATTTCCGAGCGTCCTTGTAATATCCTCTCTGTATTGGTCTGTTGAAATATTAAATTGAGTTTTAAGGTAGTGACAAAAGTCCTGGAGTAATTACACTCTCAAGAAATCTTCGCGAATAACATGCCAAGTGGCCATACACTCCAGTCATTCAAACATTTCAGTGCATTAGATGTCGTAGCTTATCATGATTAAAAACTGAAGGTATAAATACATTTGTGATTGAATCTTTAAAATCAAAACTGTGTGGTATTCATTGGGTCATTACATCAACCACTGTTGTAGAAAAGAAGTGGACAATTAAAGTACCATAGAGGCTTTAAATTTAGTAAATGGTCATGTTTGAAAGGCTATATCGTCTCAAAATAAACTGATAATCATTGTACATTCAATTTGTTAGGTAAGCAGTCAAGAGCAAGACGTTTACTGCATAGYTCTTATGGTGTGAGTATCGTACACAATCAGCATGAACGATGCAAGGGAGTACGGWAGAATTACTTTTGTACATTTTATMAMGTMKT